TTTATTTTATTTTATTTTATTTTATTTTATTTTATTTTATTTTATTTTAGTTTAATTTATTTTATTTTATTTTATTTTATTTTATTTTATTTTATTTTATTGTATTTTATTTTATTTTATTTATTTTATTTTATTTTATTTTATTTTTTTATATTTTCTTTTATTTCAATTTTCATCAAATTTTAGTTTATATACTTATTTTTTTTTATTTATATTATTTAATTTAATTTTTTTTTTTATCATTCTATTCTGTTTTATTTTATTTTATTTTGTTTTATTTTATTCAATTTTTTTTATTTTTTTGAATTCATTTCATATTTTTTTATTTAATCTATTTCATCTAATCTCATTTGTTTTATTATTAGTTAATTGAAATTATAAGAGTATAATTATAAAAAAAAATTTCAGGACAACCATGTATAATTACATAAAAATCTGTAAGTAAAAATAAAGTAAATAAAATGAAAACTTGACTGGGTTTGGGTCGCGAACCCACGACCTCGCGGCCTGTTAACCCACACTACTGCCGTTTGTCTAGCCACAGTTTCGATGAGATCAAATGCGCCGTTAATCCGGATCAAAGTTGACGATTGTCTATGCTTTTACAAAAAAATATTGATTGAACAATCAATGAATCAACTAAAGAACAAACTAACTACAACTACAAATAAAAACTATTTATTTAAATATTACAAGTAAAATATACAGAAAAAAATAGCAGAGCATAAAATCAACACACTTTTAAATAGTGAATTCATGAATTTAATTGAAAGGAATGGGGTGAATGAGGGGCGATCAGCAGCCACATATGGATGTATGTATGTATGTCGGGTATGTATGCAAAAGTATGATATAAGTTGTAATAATTTACAGTTTCGATATATTTTAAGTGCATTTAAATACAAAGTAAACGAAATGAAATGTTAAAATCTAACGTAAACCTACAGAAGTCTAACTACATTGCGGTAAAGACATGAACTAGCGCAAACGAAAAGCCGTCACATTGAGATAATGATACTATGTTTACACCGAGTAAAAAGGCATATATGTAGATATGTATGCAGTAATGAGCATAAAAAAATATTGCTGTATTAAATGCTTCATTAAATGCGCGAAAAAGCATTAAATATTTTCAAATAAGAAAAAAAAAATTATAATAAGTAACTAAACATATGTATGTAATAGAATGTAAAAAAACTCTTTATGAAAAAAAAACTAATATAAAATGATTATAAATCAAAATTTTTTAATAAATAGTAGTTAACTAAGCAATAACAACGTACGTTTCTATTTAAATCTACAATTTGGTTTTTCTTATTTTTTTGCGTTTGTCACTGGTTATAGCAAATGGACTTTACACTACAAAATATGTATAGATGTATCAATGTAAGATATACATACATCCAACTCTAAGATAATAGCATATTTACATCAAAACTACTTAAAATAGGCACATCCATGTACTTAATGCAAAACAGAAGAGAGCAAAGAAATAAACCTAAATGAAATAAAATAAAAAATAAAATAAAAATGCATATGAAACAAAAGCAAAAAAGAATATAAAACTACTATCACTATTCGATGTAAGCACTGAAAGTTTATAACTGCATATGTAGGTATGTATTTACTTGTATATTTTAAAATAGGCGAAAAACCTATGGAAAACGTTATAGTTAATTTAAAATACAAAAATAATAAAAAAAAAAATCACTTTTAATTACAAATATGTGCTGTAAGATATACGAACGTCAAGTTTATTTGACTAAATATTTGAAAAAATATTTAAAAAAAAAAAAATATTAGATACTAAAGAAGGCGCTTCTTAAAGCAACAACTATTGCAACAATTTTAATTGTCAATAAGTGTTTATAAGTTAATTTAAATGTAATTGTAATTGTACGTGTAATTATCAAAATAAAGTTACTTAAATGAATGTCCTAAATTAAAATATAAAAAGTGAGAAAATTGTAAAAAAAAAATACATACTCGACTTTACTTTTTCCATTTATGGACGCTCTCGATCGGATCTCTGCGTAACCACGAACGCCACCGTCAATATCTCTCCCTCTCTCTCTCTCTCTCTCTCTCATGCTGTTCGCTAGGTTGTGCCCACTCCAGTTACAGAGCCGTGTGCATTTGTGTGATCGACTTAAAGACACTTAAGTACGGTGTGTTATTCGGTGGGCGTTAGTAGGACCTTCGCCCGGCTGTGGATCGGCTGAGTCGGCTGAGCTTACCTTGGTTTTGGACAAAGCAGACCTTACATTTTAATTGATTTTTTTATTAATAAAGAATTTTCAGCAATTTTTGTTTGACCAACATTTGGTAACAATTTTAAACACAAGCCAACCCCTTTCAAATATGTTATCGAAATAAAACCAGATTAAAAATCTTTTGTTTGACTTGAAATGTTTCATTTATCACGTTGTCCACTACATGCTGTTTTTTACTTAAAAAAAAAAAATAAAATAAAAAATTTTACTTCGGATTGTCGGTTTTGAGGTTAAGGTAATTTCCCTTCAATCAGACCTTTCAAAATGACCTTTAAAAGTAAAATTTTTTATTGACGTTTATTGCATACAAATTAAGACCACCTATAGCAAATATTTGTATCTAAAAACTTGTATTTCGAGCCACTGTTGATACTTGTCCATATATATCAATTCGCTGTGGCCGATGACGACCAAACAGCCATCCGATGAGAATGCGACACCTTTCATGTCGGACGAACTGTCGACGGGGAATTGCTTATTTGTTTTATCCAAGCAGGAACGTTTAAATTGCATACAAATAGGCATCACCACTGCGGGGAAGATAACGAAGTAGTCGACTAGCACAGCAATTGCTGGGGGTTCTAAATCGGAAGCATCAAACCCATTAGCTCTGCAAGGGTTAATAAAAAGGAAGGAAAGCGTATGTGCCATGATAAATTATTCAAATAAAATATATAATCCACGTATGTGTGTATGCAGGTATAAGAAATCACTTACAAAATAATTTCCGACACGTTATGGCTGTTGGGCCGTTTCTCATATTGCCCAAAAGACCCGATTTCCGTGCTGCCTGTTAAAATGCTATAGATAGTTGGATCGTTGGCTGCAATACCTGGCAAGTCATTGTAGCTAAAGCATAAAGCAGCTGAAAAAAAATGTAAATTTATATGTTACAAAAGCTTGTGGAACTAATTTTAAAGCGTTAAATATTTCTCGGATCGGAATCATTAAGCTTTTTTGGTAGAGGAATCTCTATATCTATCTCTATCTATCACTTATCAAGCGCCTTAAGATCAGAACCCACAAAAGGAATACGGGAAAGGTTGGGGTTTCTGTCTTTCTAAGGTTTTCTAAACCCGAAAACTTTAAAACAATTTAAGAGGCGTCCCATGCGGTAATAGGTACTTTCGGTGCTAGTGTGCTTCCTACATACATAGCCCCGTTGAGAAGAAGCAGTCGAGAAAGCCGGTGTCATGGTGGAAAGTTGAACCTACCAAATTTCGTACAAATTCCAGTAGACTTAAAAATAGAGCGCCAATAGCTCGAAATGAAGAAATCGGTCCAAATAGCATATCGTGTGGCAGGAAAATAAGAGGCGATCCCTCATAATGTTTTTTTTTTTTGTTTTAAAATAACTTTGGGAAGTTTTCAAATAGAACGTTCATATTAGAGGCAATGGACGTTGGCATTAAATAAAAAAAAAAATCGGAAGTTTCGAGAGTGTGCCACTAAACTTAAAAAAAATGGCAGCATGCAAAATATCTGTCGCAGAAAATTGATAACTATTAAAATTTTATTATTTTTTTTTAATTGTAATATTTTAAGGTTCTCCAAAATTTTTAAGTTAAACGGTTAGATTAAATGTTTATCCTACCAGAACGAAGGAATCTAGTGTGTCACTAAATGAAAGAAAATCACAAAGCTCGGTTATGCTTAGACTTGGCCTGACTTACCTAGAAATTTAGAAACTGCAAGGTGGCCCGTTAGGTTCACGGCTCTAGAACGTGATGCACAATGAATTTTTTGGTGTATACAGATCTTCCTGAAGGAGCGGAACTAGTATTCGACGGGCATAGAAGGTAAGCTAATACCACTATCGGTAGCAGAATAAAAAGAAACAACCCTTTAAAAATACGTTTGAAATTCTTACGGATGCAAACTAGAACTTGTAAAAGAAACGGAAGAGGAGATGAAAGGACGAAGGTAGAATCTATCAGGGCCTTGAACATGATTAGATCGATGGGACATATAATGAAAGGCTAATTGATTCGAAAAGTAAATCACCAATTTATACAATTTCTTAGCGGGCATGAAGACTACAGGGGCTACCTTTTACAATTCGGACACGAAAACAGCGAGAGATGCCCTATACTATATGGCGTAGAGGTGGACTCTCGTCCACATCATGTCTTATTTTATTTCGAATGACTCGAAGCATAAAAAGTGGAGAAAATTACTGATGCCATGATTAGACGCGTAACCGTCTGCTATCAGCAAGGCATTTGAAAAACTTCAACAAATACTCCGGCAAGCCGAAGAAAAGCGGTAATCTGAAAGATCAAAGCAGCAGCAGCTGGGACTAAATCGCTTTCGTTTGTGAAGCAAAGCTCGGCGGCGGCTATGCGGAAAATGAAAAGCATGGGCAGGCGAATTTCATATTTAATGTGGAGACTTGTAATGGGCGACTACAACTTCCGAAGAAAACGCTACCATGTACGTGGAACACTGAGGCCCTTCATCGAAAAGAAGTTGCCTACAATCGATAAATTCTAGACACACTTGTATCCTATGCCTGTTTTTCTTACATGTCAGTACTAGTTTTGGTGATATTATGGTTCCTTTACATGCCCAATGGAAGCGTAGATACTGTGCCCTTCCTTCATTTGCCCTTAACTTATAAATGTCAACGGACATCTCCTTTTTAGGCTCTACAGATTCTGATGACGCTATCGCACACTGCGGCTGACACTTAAATTTGGGTGCGTCCCATTCGCCATCGTCACCACAACGAAGCTCTGCGCGCTGCAGGATTGGGCCATAACCTTGAGCACATTGTAAAACTGCTTTAGTGCCCGGCTTGTGGTAAGTGCCACAATCCACCGTGTCATCGTGATAAGTGCATTTGATAGTAGTTGAAATTCCGCTCCATTGTGGTGGGCAACGTTCTAAAACAGAAAACGCAAAATAAATCGGTTATATCGAGCCCCAGCCGCCACGAAGATGTAAGCGCCATTTTTCTCAAAATTGTCTCTTTGATGCACAAATTTGGCTAGATGCATTTCTGCAACAAAATGAAATTTTGAAAACAAAAACAATTTCGCTTACAACTTTTTGGCGGTTAGGACTTCTCTTCAACATCATTCTACACCAACTCACTTTCACATCTCGGCACAATTGTAGACCACTCGCCAACTGGCAAGCACAAGAGCTCAGATTCTCCGCCGACCAACTGCCATGCGTAATCACAACTAAAAGTAACAATAGCGCCGATATTCACTTGACTGCCCACTTTCAAAGTCGCATTTTCCGCTGCAAGAATGGCACGCAGCGCCACACGATCGACTGGTATTGTACAACGACGGTATACGACACCCGTAAGAATGGTCGGCGAAAGAATCTCTTGAGCTGTTTTCCTAATTTTGTCAATATCTGCGGAGTCAGCGGTATCATCATGCTTCGCCTCCTCCTTCGCCTGAACAGCACGATCTTCTTCAATTGCTTCTATTTTATCAATATTCGCCTCATAGCTGTCATCAAAATTGGTTTCCTCCTCGTGCTTCGCTCTCTCGGCTTCCACATATCTACATATTTCGGCCATTTCATCAGAACCATCGGCGCAGTCTACACGACCATTGCATTGTGCACTGCTCGGTATACAAGCACCGTAAGCGCAGCTAAAATCTGTATTGGGACATTTTATATGAGCGCACATTTGTAAAGTCTCATCTGAGCGATCGCTACAGTGTGGTATACCATCGCAGAGTTGTGCTTGTGGAATGCATTCTCCTGAAAGACATTCAGCGAGTTCTTCGTCTTCATAGCTGCGTATTAAGAATAAATAGAAGAGGGAGCTTGTTAAGCTGAGGATTTAAAAGCTTGGAAATAATTGATCAGATTTGAGGATGAGTTGTTAGTTAAAATCTGGGTTAGGTTAGATTAGTCTCGCTAGTGTTGAAATACACATAGATCGGTAGGTGCTTAGCGCTGCCAGTTAGAGTTCGCTTTTAGGGACGTCAACACTTTTTGCGAATTTCAACAGTATTTTCAGATCTACTCTTGGGATGTCTTCTTACTTCTCGAAATAATAGGCTGCTAGGCATTTGAGACATATTTTTGACAAGGCGGGGCATCATCACATAATCTGCTCTAAGGTTTCGCTGTTCGCCTTGTGCGAAAGGCGCTTCCTCCAACTTTTCGTAGAAATGGTATAGAGTTCTTAAAAAGTAATACTTTTCTAGCGGAAAACTCTGCTTCTCTGCAGGAGATTCCCTACATTAATACCCAATTATTTATTTAACCATTTTTTTATAGTAACTAAAATTTATAGGTCCGCCAAAAACCCCAACAAATGCAATGGAGAAACCAATAAAAAAATCATTAGTATTACAAAATGGTTAAATAAACAATTGGTTATTATTATTGGAAGTCTCTTGAAGAAACTCACAGTTTTTCGATCGAAAAGTATTGACTTTCGAGAATTCCATGCCATTTCTACGAAAGGTGGGTTTTCCCCCATATAAAAGATGCATATGGAAAACTTTGAGCGCTTTGAGAGACCTCTAAATATTTTTTGATAAAATAAAAAATAGGTGTATAGTTTTTTCGACATAGAACAATCCTAGGGGGTGAGAGCATCAAAATTCCGGCTTTACTGCTATTTTGGACTACCCTAATGAGCAGCCCCCAGGATAAGCAACTCTGCAATCCTTTATTGATAGCTTTAACAAGCAGCTGGTATTATTAGTTTCGCTTTTTTCGCACAAAATTTTTGTAGTTTTGCAGGTGGTTAACTCATTCCATATAGCTTCTAACTGCCCGATCATACTATCATCACTTGCGTTATACAGATGTTGGTGGGGTGTCTATGAATATTCGGACTGGTAGCGCGCTACTCTATTAATGACTTCCCGGCTACAAAGAACGTTTTCTTGAATACAACCTACGATAAGCTTGGCAACCTATAGATCTTCTCGAACATGATATGAGTAATTATCTGTGGCCAAACCCCGACAAAAAGGTAATAAATTGGTCAGTCCAAATATTGTTAAATGCACAAGCAGCCAACGTTCACGCATCTATCGCGGATGGAGAAAGCACTGTGATACCATCCAGAGTGGATGGGCTGTTAAACTATTTCACTCAGTACGAGTCACCAGAACTAGACGTCAGACCAGCGGATGGATGAGCAACATAATGACAGCGGCCGATTATCGCACTGAGTGGAAATCTGTAAGTTTTTCCATAGGCGCCCATTCTAACCTAATTTTACCTAGCCCACAGGGCTATGGACCATCTCGCACATGTTTCTGTTCATTTTTACACTTATTAGCAAAGCCAAAAAGTGAAACAAGATTACTATAGCGAATGATTAGTATTTAATTGAAGTAGATAAGATTCGTTCATTGTTACTTACTCGCATCCGCCTTGCAGTATGCTATAGTAGTCATCTTCGTCTTTAGTGCACAGCAGGCGCGTTTCATCTGAACCGTCCGCACAATGCTGGCGTTTATCACAAATGGATTTTATGGGAATGCACGCACCATATTTGCATTGAAATTCGCTATCGGTACAATTGCGACCGAAGCAACGCGCCGGTGTCTCATCGGAGCCATCTGTGCAATCCTTTAGGCCGTTACAAAGATCCGATTGGTCTATGCAGTCACCGTTATCACAATGTGCGCTATTTTCATAGCATACCGAGAAAGCGCTTCTCATTAACTTGTAAGAAGCAGAAACTATATATACATTTTAATTTTTTTATGTCTGTGAAAAATACAAAATATAAGGATTTCTTAAACAAACTCACCCTTACATTCGGGCCACTGGCGATACCAATTATTATTCACACACTTCAAACTGTCCACGCCAATCAATTCAAAGCCCGTGGAGCAACGGAACTCTACAGTTTCATTTTTCAAAATTTTATCAAAGTAAGACAGCAATTTCTTCGTGTTACCGTGCCTTACTTCCAAATGCGATTTCTCAAAAGGTATTCTACAAGTTTGCGAGTTGGTTGTTGTTTCTGCGTCTTTATCTTTTGCTAGTTCGTACTGCTTTGCATCCACCGAACACAGTTCATCGGAACCATCTGCGCAATCCCAAATTTTGTTGCACACTTCTTCGACACTTATGCATGCGCCATAGCCGCAACGAAACGAATAGTCTGGGCATATAATGTGTGCGCATGCGCTTACCGTTTCGTCAGATGCATCACTGCAATCCGGCCTGCCATCGCACATGGCAAATACATCAATACATTCGCCCGAACTACATTGATATTCTTCATCGGTGCTGGAAGCGTGCAAACATTTTAGATTTTAAAATAAAAGTTGTTTATGTTTTTAGGTAATTAAATCGCTTTTAACTCACCAACTTCCTTGTATTTGGGCCCATACCTCATCATCAGAGCCACACAGAAGCTCCGTTTCATCGGAGCGATCGTGACAATCGGCTTGCTTGTTACATTTCAGTTCGGCGCGTATGCAAGCTCCATAGGCACAACGATAGTGTTCATTCTTACAGAGTTTCTTCACGCACGCCATTACACTCTCATCGTGTCCATTTCTGCAATCGACGTTACCATCGCATAGTTTATTTAACGGTATGCTTTCGCCATTGGTACAAGGCCAAGTGTTATTCACTGCCGATGCTGTTAGAAGACAAATTGGTTATGAGTAAAGGAATACAAATTTTTGTATTGTGGCTGCTAAATGCATCTATCCGAAAGCATCAGTCGGCTGATAGTATCTTACTGCGTCAGCATTCGTAATTTAACTGCCTTATTATTGCCTATTAATTGCCTTATCGAATATATTTATAAATGGCGAGTGAGCAGGATCTGTGATGTGTACTCCAGGAGTTTTCTGCTGCTCTCGCTGATGCACGAGAGGAGAATTATATGCTTTCCGAGGACTCTCTGGACGAACTTGTCAAGAGATGCTCTTGAGAGCTCATACACGCTTCAATTTCGTATAGCCAGAGTTAACCGCCTATATTGGATGGCGGAGCTATCTCATCTGGGCGCATCAAGCAAGCTAGTCTTTAACCTTTAAGGTTATAAGGCTATATGCCCAGCCTGGATATGGAGTCCCGGAGACTCTCAAATTCATAAGCGGAAATTACGAAGGTGGTAAATAGGTCCTATACTGAAAAAGTGCGAAATAATTAAGTTGTATTTTAAGGAACCGAAAACAATTATCAAAACTTTCGACCATGGAAAAAGATGCCGCCTATAGGACCCAGCTGCGATTGGACCGACGCGTACTGTATGGATGGATCGGTTAGGAAGGTGAAAAGAGAGGCGCAATAAGAAGAGAGAAGCCAAAATATGGAAGTGCGAAAAGCTTAAAATGCTGGCCGATAGGTAAAACGGCCAAAAGTTTTATCAGAGAGTTAAGCGACTTAAGGAAGTTTTCAAGACCAGGGCGAACTTCTGCAAAGACAACAATGGTGTCCTAGTGACCAATGTCCATGGGCCCCTTTATGCTGTAACCCAGTAGTGCACACTAGTACTTTGTTTAGGGCCCTTGCCAAGGCGATCAGCCTCAGACCGTTATCGTCATCCGAGGTGGACGGCAGTACTCTGCAATGGAGTCCCGATCCCACCTCAAGTCTATCACCGAGTTTTCGCTTCTTTAAGTGGTTGCAGTAGTAGAAGTCGCACTTCTTTTGCCTTGACCCATCCACCGGAGCTAAGCAGAGGCACCTTCTTCACTAAGGATCCGGATATTCCAGGTATATACCCTCAAGTCATAGACCTTTATACGTTTGCCGTGGTTGTCGTCAAAAGAAGGTAGTCTCATACGAGACTTGTTTATAATTTTCAGTTTAGTAAACTGATAGATATTTCCAAAAAATAACTCCAAGAGCTTTGGTACGCAAAAGGCGTTGACTTCCTAAATGGTGTATACTCCAATACAAACTAAGGATCGATCTCCATCTGGTATCACGTGGCGCTAGGGAATAAAAGCTCTATGCGTGGCGCGTAGCAATCCGGATTAACTTAACCTCTTCTCATCAATATTTCATCAGGATTTTGAGGTAAATTTAAACAAACTAATATAGTTCTAGGAATCTACGGTATGAAACGATCGGAATCCAGTTGCATACGTACATATGTATGTATGTGTTCTATGTATATAAACATTTGTATGTACGTACACTAGGGTGGTCCAAAATAAATAATGTGGGAATATTAATGCTCTCACCCGCTAGGATTGTTGTGTAACAAAAAAATACACCCCTATTTTTTTTAATCAAAAACTATTTAGAGGCCCCACATAGCATTCAAAGCTTTCCATGTATTTTATATGGGCAAAAATCAACTATTCGTAGAAATGGTATAGAGTTCTTGAAAATCAATATTTTTCGATAAGGAAACCCTGCTTTCCTGCAGGAGACTTCCAGTAATACTAATCAATTGTTTATTAAACCATTTTTAAATACTAAAAATTTTTATTTGGTCCCCCAACTGCATTTTCTGGGGTTTTTGGAGTATCTACTAAATATAGTTACCTTAAAAAAATGGCCAAATAAACAATTGAGTATTATTATTGGGAATCTCGTGAAGATAAAAGAAGTTTTCCGATCGAAAAATATTGATTTTCAAGAATTCTATACCATTTCTACGAAAAGTTGATTTTTGCCCATATAAAATACATGGAAAACTTTGAGCGCTTTTTTCGGTATAAAACAGACCTAGGGGATGAGAGCATAAAAATTCCGACTTTACTTTTTCACATGCAGTTTTGGACCACCCTAACTTACACCCACTACAAAAGGTGCATTTTTGTCGCACATTCAATTTAGTAAAAATAATGTAGAGAAAATTTTTTAAACATAATTTAGTTGAAAAAAAAAATGCGTGGCAGCGTCAGCAAAAAAAATATCAAAAATCAATGGGATTTCGTAGCAACTTCAAACTAGCACAGCAATATATTGAAATTGAATTATAGCCAAGTGAATACCAAATAATTTCCTAACAAAAAGGTTTGAAGTTTGGTCGAAAATTTTGCAAATTTTTCTAAATTTTGGAATATTAAAGAATGACTATACTAAACTATATTTTTAAAGAATTTTTTGATGAAAAAAAACTAGGAATATTGCAAAAAAAAATTTGTGTACGGAAACTTTTTCTAGTGGGTGTATATGTATATGTATATCTTGGTACAAAAAGATAATGCAAAACCTCATAAATGAGGCTGCACAAATTTTAGAGGAGTAAAAGCAGTCTTATTTCAAAACGATCCTCTCTTGAGCAAATCTCAATTTCAATTCACAAAAATTAGTTGCGAGGCTTGGCAGAACCACAATACGCGGTTTGGCACTTTAAAAGACGATATTGGATAATTTTTTTTAACAAATTGTAAACACATATAAGCTTATCAAAATTCAGATCAGTTGTGAACTTTTTTGCTCACCCGCCGGTATGCAATAGATAACTAATTGCATACAAAATAAACACTGAAATAGTCTAAACATAGGAAAATGTGGTTATATATTCCAAAGTTTGTAGTTTTTTTTTTTGTTTTTATTCACTTAATTTTGCAAATTTCTTAGATTTACAATACTCCGTTCGAAAACAAGCGATGTGCACATCAGAGACAAGTTAAATGTTGACTGATTCAAGCAATCGCACAAAACGTACGCGTATATTCACGTTGAGAGGAGTGCCGATGCTGATAGTATTTTGTTGTTATCTTCGCTTTAGTAAATCGATTAACTAACAACATACTTATGCTAGATTCATGTACCTGCATATGTAACTAAGTATGTAGCTGCCAATCAGCAATTAATGATTATTAATCAAGCATTTGTAAAGGAGAAGAAATGATGGCTGTCAAGTTCTTAAGTAGTCATGGAAAAGTCGTAGGTAGTCAAGTAGCAATGCTGTTCTGTCAAATAAAGTACCTAATAAAGAATTTTAACATCTTGCATTCCTTTAGGCAAAAGGCAAGGTAAAACTCGAAGTACTTGTTCTTATAAGAAAAGCGCTGGAAATCATTTACCCTCTAGTAGGCCAATTTTTTTTTTGAGCCCAAAAATTCAGTTATGGGTGATTTTGGCACGAGAAATCCGAAAAAGATTTCCATTTACTTCTGTGAAAATAACTTTTTTCTACAGGGAAGAACAATGTAACTAACCACGGATTCAATTGACACGTTGAGCATACAATTTAGATTTTAGACTTGCATGCCTTTTTAGATTTCCTCTCAACAATCTTGGGCCTAGTGCTCATCTGATACCAGCATGTACTCGGTGCCTGCACTCATTAAAAGTATAGAAGAGAATACTCGATGCTACTCAAAGTATCGCTAGCAAAACACCCGATACTACTTGTACTCGAAAGTACTCAGAAGAGAAATTTTAGTTCAATGATCGTTTAAATACAATATAACAACATACAGTGAAGAGCTAAAAAATGCTCTTTCATATCCATTTTGATATATTCTAACTTGAAAGTTTCACAACGAATTCTAGATGATGCTTTCGTAAATCCTAGGCTGGTTCCACATCCTCATCCAGTGTTTTGCGATCGAAAAATATTGATTTTCAATAATTCTATACCATTTCTATGAAAAGTTTTTTTCCATATAAAATATTTGGAAAACTTAAAGCGCTTTGAGCGACCTCTAGTTACTTTTTTGATTTCAAAATAAGAAATTAGAGGTATATTTTTGTTGATATAAAATATATGCGGTGAGAGCATTAAAATTCCGACTTTACTTATTTTGTATCATTTTTTTTATTGATTTTTAAGTAACTTCTATTTTTCATTATCCTCGATATCGAACAATGTACATAAGCATTTTCAACTAAAGGAGTGCACAGATATGCTATCCCAGTGCGATAACTGCATATATTCAACTGGTAGTCGCCCCCATATTTCTCTGAATTCTTAACTCCTCCTACTGTCAGTCGTTTCAAATTCTTATATGTATCTTAAACACTTCATTCAGCGTCGTATTTCGCTTCCACATCTGCCTCAATTACTTGCTGCAACATTTCAGGTATCTCGGTTAAATCGACAGCGGCCACCGGTTCTCTGGTGCATATAAATCCATGCGATGGCTTTGCACTAATAATACCAATTAAATGCCATCGGCCATTTCTTCTCTCAACAACGCCACTGCCACTGTCGCCCTGACACAAGTCTGCCCCCTTACTTTTCCAGTTAGATGTAGGGCGCACACAAAATTGATCCGCCGTAATTTGGGCGTTGCAATCACGACCAGATAGAGTTTCAACTGCCGTTTTCGGGAATTCTATTTGTCCTCGATGTGCGCTTCGTGTAGGCCATTTGTGCACGTTTGCATTTTTATTTACTGTGTTGCCCGACGACGATGTAAATTTATGGCAAATTGGTCTTATGTTTTTACTCAAAATGTAGGGTGTGCTTAGTTTCAAAAGAACAACATCGACCGAGCTGTGTGAAGGAAGAGAGTAGAGAGAGGGTGGGAAAAAGTTTAAAAGAAGTTATCAAGGCAGGTGGTTCTTAAGTTATATTAATGGTAATGGTAATGGTGATGGTAATGGTAATGTTTATGCCAATGGTAATGTAAATGATAATGGTAATAGTAATGGTAATGTTTATGATAGTGGTAAAGGGAATAGTAAATAGAATGGAAAAGGTAATGGTAATGGTAATCATAATAGTAATTGTAGTGGTATTGGTGTTAGTAATAGTTATGGTAATGGTAATGGCAATACTAATTCTAATGGTAATGTAAATAGTAATGATAATGGTAATGTAAATAGTAATGATAATGGTAATGGTAATGTAGATTGTAACGGTAAGGGAAATTGTGGTAATAGTCATCTTAATGATAATGGCAATATTAATGGTAATGCTAATATCATTGGTGATTTTATGTTGATAATAATGGTGATTGGTAATAGTATTGGTAATGCTAATAGTGATGGTATCGGCAATGGTAATTATAGCAGGTCCCATGTCATGGATATACATATTTACCGATTGGCATATATATTTGATACGTTTTTAGTATGCGTGACAATAGTGTTGTTTTCGAATCTCTTAGCGGCGACTACTTGAACATAGTTTGCGTCGAGGACTTCCTCATTCTCGTCAAACACGCAATGTAGAGCTGCAATAATAACAAATGCATTTATTCAATCCTTTACAAAAACGTATGTGTACATATGTATCACTGTTGCCAATTTTTTTTTTCATAAACTGTACATTTCCAAGAAAAAAAACGGTATTTTCAACTAAAAAACTGTAATGTTCAAAAATGAAAAGATTTTTGGAAAATTAAGGATTTTTCACCGTATTACTTTCCTCAAAAGAAAAAACCGCTGCTAACGAATCAATTCCTCGTGAGATGCCACCTTGGGAACCACCTCTATAACGATCTGCTTCGAAACTATGTGCCGCAGGCGGGATGGCCACTGCATGTGTGGCGAACAACCATCGAGCCGTACGAATAACATCCTTTCGACGCAACAACATTCATACCAATGCAGTCAGAATGATTCTCAGAACATGTAATCAATATTGATGAAGCAGAACTGACTAGAGAGCCTCGCGGCACTGTGCATCACGGGAGCGCTGAGGTCCACTCCAACGGCTGCTCTTGAGGCAATCCTCAGTTTACCGCCCATTGACCTATTCGCGGAAAACCGTGTTGCTAAATCAGCAGATAGGTTCACGGCCTTTAGGCACAGCTCAATTGGGGCGGGAAGCACAGGCACCACGGACTACATGGAACTTAACTTTAAGTATGAACGAAGGATTCACACAACGATTGAGAAGGAGGGACGGATGGCTCGAAATAGCAACTGGAGTCGATGCAGGGATTTACTGCCGGCAACCGCACGTCAGGCGGGCAGAAGGGTTACCTCACCATTGCAGCATATTTCAAGAAGAGGCAGAGGATAGCAGCAGAGCTAGCCTACTCCGACAATCTATTCAAAAGTACGGGAGCCATTGACAGGCTAGGCATTGACCCGGCCACAAGCGAATAGAGGGTGACGAAATAGCAGAAGAGACTGCCAAGAACGCCACCGCTCTGATTCTCGAACAGACAAACTACATTCGTAGACCACTTCAACCCTCGTACAACGAAATAGGCGATAGAGTTAACCACTTGCAAAACTGCAAAAATTAGGTGCGAAAAAGGCGGAAGCAACTATACTCGCTTCTTGTTACGGCTACCAAAGGAAGAGTGCAGAGCTATTAACGGATTGTTTACAGTGAACATCCTGGTGGCTGCTCCTGCACTAAAAATGGGTATCACTAGCGTGGAAAGATGCAAGCAGTGTCGTGAGTGGGAGACCAGGGAAGCATTGGGGCCACTTCTATGCCGATGTGCTGCACTGCCAAAAAAAAACACGACCAAAATGCTTGGGAGTCTACGTGTGGCTCAATGCCGCACAGTGGTTCGAATAGCAGATCTAGCTGGACGAAAGGCAAAATTTTATTTGTTTTTAAATTACTTTATGATACCTGGAATACATATTTAAATATAAATTGCATCATTTTTCATTTTTAGTTTTTGAAATTCGTTTATATTTGTATTCATTCAGCAACCTAGAAACGCCCCATAAAGCCAGTTTTATAGAAATCTATAAATATTTTTAATTTTTCATCCGCCGGATTGGATCTGCCATTTGGAATTTTTGGTAAATAACTTTATATTCAAAATCAGCGAACCAGTAAACTCCCAGTTAAGAATTGGCTTCATAGAAATCTATTAGTTCTTTAAATCTTCGCCCGCCATATTGGAGAAGAAAAAGATTGATCCCATTTTTCCGCTGTTTTTTTATATAAAAATCGATATCTAGTATTTTTTTTGTACTCGTAACCAATTCATAATCAGATGAACTTTGATACGAGAAAATTTTATAATACAGCAAAATACTGTACACCGATTTTTCGATGATTATTTTTTACATACATACATATATAGCTTAAAATCACCTAATCTTCAAAGAGCGGGATAAATTTTTTTCCTATCTGAAAAATCACAACGCAGGTTATCCAGAAAAAGTGTAATCAATGCCGGCCAAAACCGGGCACTAGAACAAAAACACTTTTGAAAAAAAAAATTAATACATGTGTATATAGATGGTACCCAATTACTTGCTTGATAAGAATCCATGGCTTTATTTTCAAAATTTTATTCAGAGTGCATCTATTCTGAGAATGTTTCAAATTTTCACAAGCAACATATTTTAATCATGAAAATAAATTATTATCGAAAATAATGCATTCCAGTCTTGGCCTACTAAAATTAAAACTTTGTTGAATTCGGGCCAGTTTTGGGAAATGGCGTTTTGGCCGGCCAGATTAATGAAATACCCCTATGGGAGGCGATTGCATTTTTATTTGAAGCTGTTTTGCATGGCACAAATACACTCGGAGGTTTGCCATTGCCTGCCGAGGGGCGACCGCTATTAGAAAATAATTTTTTGCTTTACTTGTGTGCACTTCTAACAACTACACCACAGCGGGCGCTGGTAGGATTTTTACTTTAGTTACGTGTATTAGATAATTAGCTGTTACCAATTTTTTAACTTACCCGTTATTACAAGATTTGTGGAAAGTATAGTACCGCCACATACGTTGATCGACTGCGCTTTGATACGAACGTGCCATGGCGCCTTCGACGATGTTGGATCTTGTTCTATTTTCCCACAACTCGGCCTGCAATTGACTTTTTCTTTATTCCATCTACCATCGTTTCGACACATCATGCTGAAGGTGGCATCTAACCTAGGGATACAAGTACATAAATTAATTTCAAACAAAATCCATACGTAGCGCATACATATGTACATACAACAGAACAATTGAAAATAATGTTTGAAGGTAAGCGGCAAAAAATGGGCCTTGTGTTGAAAAGTGGCAGTTTAGGATATGGATTTTTTTTAGATAAGGTAATAACAGAGAAAAAACTGTAAACAACGATGCGCCTAAAACTAAGCCGCAAAACGTTGACTAAATTAAAAACAAAAACTTTTTTGTGTATTTTTAAAGCGCTAAAATAAAGTCTTTGCGATAGTGAAGCTTGACTGCACACAATTAGGGCGAATAGTTAGTGTTTTTCGAACCTTACCCGTTCGGCATGTGATAACCGTCGGCGCAACTAATTACCGCAACGGTATTGGGTTCTATCCTCTCACATGGCACTCGCTCCGTATAGCGCTTGCAGTCGGCAATCGTTGATCGACTACGCATTAAAAGGTCCGCGTTACAGAACTCTGGAAAAGAGGAGATAAATAAATACATTAGAAAAATGGAAACATACTATCCGCTGGTCAGTGGAGGTACTTCGAGGAAACCGTACCATTACAAACATTTTGTTTCCCCCCTCAATTTAGCAACGAGCATTCAACAACGGTAAGCATAAAAACAAACAAGAACTTTTTCATGACAGGGCAATTTCGAGGCCGATCGTTAAGTAGCTGGTCGCAAATCCTTATCCTAATCTTAATCTTACCCTTTATATTAGGATTAAGATTAAGAATGAGATTGAAATTGAGGCTAAGGTTAGGATTGAGATGAAGATTCCGATTAAGATGGAGATTCAGGTTAAGATTTTCATTAAGATTAAGATTAAGATTACGCTTAAGGTTAAGACACAGATTAGGATGAGGATTAAGATTAAGATTAAGATGTTGCTTAAGATTGTGATTATGATGACATGTGATTAAGGTTAAGATTAATATCAAGATAAAGGTTGAATTTTAAGATTAGGATTAAGGTTAAGATTAATATTACGATTAAGATTAAGATTTGGATTAAGATAGAGGTTAGGATTAGTATTAATATTAAGATTATAATTAAGATTGGGATTAAGATTAAGATTAAGATTAGGATTAAGATTAAAATTAAAATTAATATTGGGATTAAGATTAGGATTACGATTAAGATTAAGTCTGAAATTAAGATAAGGTTAAGATTAAAATTAACGTTAAGATTACGATTAAGATTAAAATTAATATTGAAATTACATTAAGTCGGAAAAATCAAGCTACAAAAAATCAAGCTACACCAACATATTCGGCATTATCATGAGTTTCAATTTGCCAGACCTTTTCACTTTTTGTGCGAAACTTTTTTCGGGCGAAAGTCACGATAAGGCGGATTAAAATATTTGTTAATTATCACACAAAAAATATTAGCTATATGGGTAGTAGGAAAAGTCGCAACAACCAGCCGTAAATTTCGCGCACGATTTGCTTATGATTGGGGGGAGGGGATTGACCTTTCATAGGCCTTTTTCGTTGCTCTCTGCAATTTGCCCATCCTACTGTCTATATCCTCGATTGATATACTAGTATTTCTTAGATTTGTTTTGAATGCATACTTACGAAGGCACTTTGGTATTTCGTCATCCCAACCATTTCGACCACATATGCGTACTTCTTGAGCTGTATTCGTCGAGAGTGTAGAGTTATTTTTGCATTTGATCGTAATGCGAGTTTCAACATCGACCGAGGAGCCAGGTGTTAAATGCACATTTTCATTGTCATTACGTATATCGTGGTTTGCATCGTAAGTAATTTTACAAACAGCCGCAGCTAGTCGCAGCCGTATCCTTGTTACGGGAGACAAGACGGCCGGACAAGAAGCGTAATACATATTTTCATCTGATCCATCAATACAGTCTTTCTTGCCATTACATTTCCGATCATTGGCAATGCAGCCGCCATATTTACAACGAAATTCCTCGCACTGCTTCAACGAACAATATGATTCACTTTCATCGCTGCTATCCTCACAATCCGCTTTGCCATCACAAAACCATTCTTTTGGGATAAATTCACCAGACTCACAAGATAATTCATCAGGATTGCTGAAAAAGACAAAAAAATAATAATTAACAGTTTCATCTATGACTTACTTCTTACTTGTTTTTGTTGCAATTAAGCTTCCACTCATCGGAGCCGTCGGCACAATCACTAATTCCATTACACCATGTTTCCAATGGAATACATGCTCCATAATGACATCTGGCATTCAAATTCGAACACTCTTCTTCTAGGCATGGACTTGATATGATACTATTTCCCTCGAACTCATCCGAGCCATCACTACAATCCTTATAGCCATCACATACTTTGTAATAGGGTATAAGATAGCCATTCTTGCATGGAAAAAAGTCGTCTTCTTTAATTAGAAAAACAAATTGTTTTTTGTTCAGTATCTTTAACCTCAAGTGATAAACAAGAAAAAATTTTTAGGTACAGATTAAGCTGAACATTTTATAAAATGTTGTTGGTATTTGCGCACTGAGAACTCTCAAAGTATAATTTTAAGTACATTAAGTGACACAAAAATCTTCGCAATTTAACCAGTAAGTACATTTTGACATTCTTGCACACTTCTAGTACGCGCGTAATTTTCTCTGGCAATAAATTTATCTTGTCATTTGGCTTTGGATATACTATAAATATTTTTAAATTTCTTAAAACACACTTTTATTCAAATTTTTTTTTTTTTTTACCCATGCTTTGACTCCGCATACCGACGATTGCTAAACTTATTATGCACAAAATTTTTTTAATCATTTTTATTTTAATTATTTTATATTATTATTATTTTTTTTTTAGTTAGCGGATCAAGACGAATAACAATTATGTATAATTAATTTAGACTCTCTCACTGAGATTCATTATATATGTAGTTATATCAAATTTTTTTTTATCCTTTTTCATTGCCGTCCCAAAGCGCGACGTTGTTGCATTGAACGCTTTTGGCATTCAACTGGGTATTCAATTTCCAGGCACCGCCGTTTATGTTGCATTTATTTGTTAATACGCGATCAGATTACGCATATACAGCCAGCTGTTCATCGCTCTCTCTCCTGATAACTTGCAATAAATTGTAGGACGCATGTATGTATTGGAATTCCCGATAAGATTTCGCAGAAATTGTGCATTCAACCAACTATTTAGCAAATACGTAGACGCTTTCTTTCACTAAGTAATTTCGCTTTGATTAAGATTTTCATTATTATGAAATTATATATTTATTTACTTTTGCCAGCTGATAAGCAACTGAGAGAGTATGGGGAAATTAGGAAAATAATTACTTGCGCGAATGTGCTGTGCTTCTCTGAAGCCTGGATGGATTTTGGAGGCAATTGATTTTAAATGTTTAGTTTGGTGAAGCTTCTCCTTAAATTTGTGGCGCTCTTATTTTCTATATATATATATATATATATATGTAGCTACTTACGCTTCTGTGTATAGTGAATGATTTTTGAAATGTTTCATTTTATTCCCTTTCTTAATCAATAAACACAATATGCTTGTAGACTATATGGTCGATAATTAGACTGGCAACGTTAATTAGAGAAAAATACCTTATTTTTAAGGTGATATGATTAAAAAAAAAATTGTTTAATACTTGCTTTGATGTCAAAGTTATGGGCATGCCCACGTTACACTGTTTAGGAGTTCAATGTTGGGTCGTGTCAGAAAGTTTGAAATTTTTGCAGATTGGGTGAACAAATATTGCTAGTTTTGTAGGAAGGCAAACCCAATCGCTACACATTTAAGGTTTTTGACAATTTTTGCCCATATAATTGGGGCATTTATAACGTAATGCTTGGGTTAAGTTTTAATCCAAAGCATTTGCTTATACATTTGTTTTATTACTATCACCAATGTTGCCATTTTGGTAGAATTCTACCAAATTTGTTAGAATATTTTTCTAAATTTAAAATTTGGTAGAATGGTACACTGAGCCAAAAGTACAATGGGTCTTCCAACCAAGTTATTGTTTGGTTTTTTCATGGTAAGTATACCGATTGTAAGAAATGTAATTCAAGTTGAACATTTGAAAACGAATTCGTATATCTGACTGTAGCTGAACGTGTAGAGGTGCTTTCTGTTAGTGGTTTGCTTCAAACAAGTTCTAGTACGAATGCGGTTAGCGGCAACACATCATTTAAATTTTTTTTCCTATTTTGGGTTATTCTTATTTACGACAAAGCATCTGTGAAGTGCAGAACCAAATTAAACGACGAAGAAAATCACGACGGCTGTAGCTGAGTGTGCAGATATGCTTTCAGAAGAACCGCCTCTTCCTGTCAGAGGCAACATGCTTAAGTGATAATAAAAAATTTTTGTTTCGTATCTCCGGATTATGAAAAAGCATATGTGAAGTACAGAACATAAGCGTACGCAAACGAAAATATTGACAACCATAAGTTTGGTTAATGTAAAAAGTGTCATTAATATTACCAAATCATTGTTGAAAATATCAACCAAGGCATTGTTAATATTAAACAAAAATTACGTTGATTCCTGTTCAAGTTTGAATTTGGTAATATTAACCAATCTTTGGTTGATTTTTTTTCTCAGTGTAGATTCGTTTTCCATTTGGTAGATTCTACCAGACGATTTTCTTGACTTCATTCATTTCATAGAGACGACAAGTATATAGGCGAATTCATCGATCTACAGTTCGGAACTTTTCTTCCATGTGCTTGTTTTTGTGTTTCTCTCTCTCTCTGGGAGAGGAAAGTTCTGAATGCTGTTGACTTGTTAACTCTAATTCAACTTTAGTTCATGACTTGAATGCCGCATAATTGCTATATGGCGGTTCTGGTAAAATTTTCGGCCGTTTTTCCAGTCGGTCAGCATTCATATTCGTATTTCGGCCTCTCTCTTGTTGTAGCGGCAAATATGTCCCGTTTCTCTTTTCATCGCCCTATACCGCGTATGGGCACCGTCTTGCCCGTGGGCAAAGCTCTATTGAGCTTTCTGTACATTTTGTATAGGCGCGTGCAAAGTAAAAGCTCTCTCTGCCCATCGCTACCCTATATGGATCTACTCAGCGCGCGTTACGCTAATCGCAGCGATGCCCTGTAGGTGACATCTTTTTTCTATGCAGCTTCTTGACACTCCTCATCGTACCAGTTGTTCTTTTGGGCTCGCTGAAATTCGACTACATCTTCGGCGGCAGTATGTAATGAGGGGATAAAGTGGCTATATTGCTCGCATTTGTCAATTTGTTGGGGAGTGCTCTCTGAGAGTAGGTATGAGAGTCGTGTGGCTATCCGTGCATGGCGGCGATGTCAGATTTGGTCTTGCGAGGACATCAACCAGCCGGGCAGAGGCACCTACCCTCAACTCATTGTACTCTAAACATTTTGCTGTGTTCATCCTCAAAAAGGGAGTTCTGGGGGTTGTACGGATGGTCCTATCCAAGACTTTATTTTCCTTATTCACTGCAAGAGGTTTTTACGTGGCGGTTCATTAGGCCAACGCACAAACCATTGCTGGTAGGGGGGTGGTTTCTTAACCGAACACACATTTATATTGCGAGTCGCTTGCTTCACACAGACAGACGTATGCTTGCGCGTGCTGCACCTGCTGGTGAACATACGCTGCAGCTTCAGTGAGCTCTTAAACCGAATGAGCCGGAGTGGCCCACCGAAGCTCCCTCTCTTTCTGCCGTGACACAAGGCTCCATGCGGATTGATTGCGGCATCTTCCACATGGGTGGCTCACGTCGATATTGAGTATAGCCATTGCAATGTACGGCCTAAGTCTATTGAAAATATTTGAAATAGGGGTAAAACCACTCTGCTTACCATGTAACAGTAATTTTCAGTATGATCTAGAAAATACTTTTAATACGTGCGCCGGGTGTTTAGTATTCGGCTTCGCCCGAACTTAGACTTTTTTACTTGTTCTCACTATGTACGTACATAGATAGGTGTGCATACTATATATACGGTGACAATCTGTCCTTTACTTACGTTATTTTAACCCCCTGTCCTTTATAATTTTTATTTTTTTTTCAAAATAAAGGACGCACTTACTGCGTCAATAATTATAATTAAAAAGACGGTTAAATGTTTTTTGTTAGTTTTTATTTATTTATTTTTTATTTACTCATTTATGTATTTATGTATGTATGTATTTGTATATGTATGTATGCATGTTTTGGTATTAACGCTGATTTATTAGTTTCTTTTTTTTAATTTAAATTTACATAATTAACTTTTGTATGTATATGTATATTGGTGTGTGTACATGTGTGCCTGTTTACTTATGTATATGATGCATATATTTGTACATACATACATATCTTGATGCGCCTTTACATAAGTTTGCTGCTGCTGTCAATGGCGCCGCATGTGAATATGCGTGTATCATATTTTATTACCTGTCATACATACATATGCATATGGATATGTGTATACATATTTAACTTAAATGTATACTTTTCATATTTACCAGGTTAATTATTATTAAGTATGTTTATGCGGTTGTACGTAGCAGTTAGTACTTTCATATTTTTTTTTTTAGATCTTTCGATTTCTTCGAGTTACCCATGCTTAGACTTTTTTTATTTAACATACTCGTACATATTTCATAAGTATGTAGTATCATTATTCAAAAAAAAACAAAAAAAAACAATCCATGCCAATTTTTAGAACCGTCATCAGCGAAGTAGCCTTATTTTTGATTCCAAGCTTAGACTTGCTGATTGGTGGATATTTACTTTTATATTTTCATCTTTTTCAATCTTACTTTCAGGCCCTACATATCATATTTTATTAATACAATTATCTTTTTTGCGCTTAAAATGTGTGTTTATTTGTACAATCATACTATTTTATAAAATTTTTTTTTTACCAACGGCATAGAGCAATTTCTGTGTCTTCTTAAAAGCGATACGCAAGCTGAGCAAAGATAAGGCGGAACATCTTGAAATACGCCGCAGTTATGCCTAAAGAAGCTTTTGCTGGGTTGCGAGCATAGAATTTTTGGTTCAATTTGTTCTGCTTGCTTACGCCAATTGTCAGCTAATTAGAAACGTTGCGAAAGCGAATGGGTGTTAAATCCACCATACCGAGGCAACATAGAGCATACGTTAGTTACTGCAATTGAGATCAAATAAATCTCATATCTAACGAAACACTTTTCAACAATTCTTTGAAGGCTTTCATAACTCTTTCGCCCACTCTAAAACTCGAAGTCTGCTCCAAAACAACACTTTGATATTTTTTAAATGGTTTGAGAAGTACATATACATATGTATGTATATCTTAGCTTCAAAAATATCAGAATACAACTTCATATTCCTTCGTAAAAAGTGCTGCCGACATCTCGTCTAGATTCGCGTTAACCCTCACCCATATACATACACTGTCTTGGATGTGTTTCAATTGCCTTTCGTGTATTTTAGTCAGATTTTTTCATAAAATTTTTCACCACAGCCCACTTAAAATTGTATGTATATTCTTTATAACTTAATCCGTTAGGTTAACAAGTTGAATTAAATTTCACTTCGCATCGTTCCTAATAAGTTGACCATTGGCGTGTGTGTGTGTTATGCTATGGTATGTACATGTATGTATATATGCAGCAGGTGTACGTGTATTTACATATGTCAATATACTGTAATTTGATGTGAAATTTTGAAAAGCTTTTGTAAAAGAACTACATTTGTATGTATGTATGTACTTTTGTAACTTCGTTTTCCTTATCAGACTAGACTCGGACGACGCCGACTGTGCAGTACTTCGCGTTTTCGTATAAACGAAGTTGACGGCGAAAATTAATTTACTAATTCATACTAAATCGCTTGAAATTCAGTACGCTTAATTACATTTAACATTCGCCGTCAAAAAAAGAAAACAGTTTCCTGCGCAGGAGACTTTCAAGTACCGTTAAAAAAATTATATAATTAAAATTAATTAAAATTGTTTCATGTTGAGCAAATTAAAAATTTATGTTTCGATATTTCGGGTGCTTCTAATAATTTAGTAGTGACTATATGTATAGTATATACATACATTTGTATATGTAAAAAGTTTATGTCTTACGTAGGCGTTTATACACTTGCAAAAAAGTAACTACATGCTTGAATATGTATGCATATATGTATGTAAGTACCACTTATTTACAGAATGCGCTCAGTGAAAAATTATAAATACATAGTTAATTTCATAAACATTTTTAGTTACTACATAGTATGTACTTTCTTTCAGTAATTTTTAATTTATTATTATGACTTTTTTATTTTACTGTATTCTATGTTATTTTATTTATTTTTTTTTTTAGTTTCAATGAATTTTATTTGATTGTTTTTATTACATTTATTTTAATTTTATTTTATAAATTTTATTTAATTAAATAAATTTTTTTATTTAAATTTTAAATTTTTTATTTTAAGTTTTTTTTTGTTTTTAATTATTTATTTTGTAATTTTTTTATTGCAATATTTTTTATTACCTTGCTTTTTATTTTAGTTTTGAACTTTTTTATTCAGTATTATAATTGATTTTTATTTTCTATTTAAATATTTATACTATTTTATATGTTGTATATTTAATTTCATATACGTTTTTTTTTTGTTTTTAGTTTTTTATTATATCAAATTTTTCACTTCAATATTTTATTTCATTTATTACATAAATTTTTATATTTTTACTTATTTCTTTATTTTTAATTAAATTTTTTATTTTATTTTTTATTTAATTTAACGTTATTATATTTATTCTATTTTATCTTATATTATTTTCTTATATTTATATATTGTTAATTTTTTATTTAATTTAATTTTATTTTATTCTATATTATTTTGTTGTATTTCATTTTATTTTGTTTTGTTTTAGTATACTTCACTTTTATTTTGTTTTATTATACATTTGTATTTTTATTTTATTATACCTTTCATGAGCATGAAATGGTATTATAACTTTGGTCCGATGTTTGTAAGTACCAGAACAAAAAGAGATAGGCCCATTAAAATGTATACTTATATGATCAGAACGTCGAGCTGAGTTGATTTAGCCATGTCCGTCTGTCCGTCTGTCCGTCTGTCCGTCTGTTTGTATGCAATCTAGTCTCTCAGTTTTCGAGATATCCGGATCAAATTTCATAGGTGGGTGTATTTTTATAATGTATTAATCATTTGTCGGAACCGGAAGAATCGGACCACTATAACATATAGCTCCCATACAACTGATTGTTCAGATATGAGTTTTTTCGTTATAACTTCTCCATTTATGCAGCTACGAACATGAAATTTGGTAGTACTTGCACCCATTATCATCAGAATACTTACAGTGAAAATAACAAGGATCGGATGACTATAACATATATCTTCCATACATCTGATTGTTCAGATATAAAATTTTTCGTTATAACTCCTCCATTTATGTAGCGCTGTTTTCACTCATTATCAGCAGAAGACTTACAGTGAAAATAACGAAGATCGGGTCACTATAACCTGCAGCCCCCATACAACTGATTGTTCAGATATGAAGTCTTTTATCATATCTCCTCCATTTATGCAGCTAGGAACATGAAATTTCGCACCATTTTCACTCATTATTAACAGAATACTTACAGTGAAAATAACAAGGATCGGATGACTACAACATATATCTTCCATACATCTGATTGTTCAGATATGGGATTTTACTGTAAAACTCCTTTATTTGAACAGCTAAAACCGATAAATTTCGTAAGATTTTTTATAAATAATAATACAAAGTCTACTGAGAAAATCGTCAAAATCTATGCTGTATAAGTTTTATCTCCTATAGCACTGATTGTTCAGATACCAGTTTTTGCCATATATCTCCTTTATGTAGGAAACTAAACCCAATAACTTGTGTTACCGGTTTACATACCGATCACATAGCGGTGAAAATCACTTAGATTAGTGCCATATAAAGGATATCTTCCATACCTCTGATTGTTTAGATGCGATTTTTTATATAAGTATGTAACTCCTCTATCGATGTATGCAGATGTATTCAAAAGCAGTAATCTGTCAAAGTAAAATTTGCAGATGTTCATGAAAGGTATGAAGCCTTCGGCATAGCCGAAGACAGCGCTGCTCTTACTTGTTTTATTTATATTTATTTTTATTATTATTTTATTATTATTTATTATTTATTAATTATTATTATTTTATTATTTTTTTTTTTAATTTTTACTACTTCAAATATTATTAATTTTTTTTATATTATTTTTTAGTTAGTTTCTTACTTTATTTCATGTTTTATTTATTTTTTATGCGACATTATTTTAGCGGATTTGTATTTGATTTCATTTTTTCTCTTTTAATTTAAGTTTGTTTTGCGTCAGTATTTTTTGTTTTATTTTTATTTAACTTTATTTTATTTTGTCTTTCTTTTTTATTTTACTTTATACCTTTTTAGTTATATTTTATACTTTTGCTTTTATTTCTTAAATTGTTACATAATTCCTAAATTGCATACACACATCTTCTTCTTCTTTATACACATACATATCTATTGAGTATATTTTTATATGTATGTATGTATGTATGTACAGACATTTATATTTTCTCGATTTTAATATCCTTCTTACCATCTCTTTTTTATTCTTACTTTATTGTACTGCTTACGGTTCGGTATCTGTTTCTGTTTTGCACACTCACAGCTATTTAGACTACATAAATGTATGTATGTGTATATTTTTCTGATTATGATTGGGTTCTGCACAATTAAATAATACTCATTTCCTTTAAATCTAAATACTTCCTTCCGTACTGAGTATACGTGTGAAATAATAAAATAAAAGTGTATGCTTTTTACTTGAGTTGAAAATACATACGATTTTATAATTTTTGCAGCTTTTGAGTTTGAGTTACCATTACCAGTTACTTGGGTGGAGCTTAACACTCATGAACTCTTCGTTTCCCTGCTGACGCCTTTTCTCTCTTCCTAACATTTCCGCTGCCACAAAAGATTTCTTAGTTCTCAAAGCATTAAAGTTTACTGAAGAAATCATTCAGACGTAAAATAGAAGAGAATAAAATGGAAATCAAATGAAAGCAGCGTTAAAGATCATTAAGATGGGGATATTTTTTTGAGCTAATAAAACTTTCCCATTTATTAAACGAACTCAACTTGCTGAAGGTAACTAAAAAGCGCTGCTGTGTGATGAAACAGGACCTAGTAAAAAAGAGTTTTGTGCAGTAATGTGTCACTGGAAACATGTGAATATGTGAAAGCTCAGCCAAGAAACATTAAGGATTGTACGAAAAGAGCTTTGATAACACATAACAGAATGAAAGTGCCGAGTACACGACGTAAAACATGTGAAAGCTCAGCCAAGAAACATTTCCAAACAAAAGGATTGTACCCGAAGAGCTTTCATAACACCCAAGAGAATGAAAGTGCTGCATTTCAGAGTAAAATATGTGAAAGCTCAACCAAGAAATACTCAGATTTATAAATATTTTTTTTTTTATGAAAATATCTTATTTTACTATGTATTTATGTATGCATACGTTTTAGACTTTTTACACTAACAAATATATGTACGTAGCTTATATATGTTAAGCTTCATTTGGTGTTCTCATGCTTCGTGTATGTATGTATGTATATGTTACTTATGTATGCGTGTAAATAAATAAATATTCAAAAAGCTTTGAGCTGAGAGTTTTTGTTTTTATTTATACAAGTATAACAATTGTAGGTGTGTCAAATCAGTGGCAAATAATAAAACATATACAAAATTTACTTAACGAAATATTTTCTTAAACATTTAATTACTTTACTTAAATAGATTTACATACTTTAATGTTTGCACGGCTTTTTAAGGAAACTATTTTTTTTTCTTAGACTCTTTCACCATTGAGTATCTAAAAGAGTGTTTGTATATGTATTTATGTATGTATTTGTAAATTACTACATTTAATTAAATTTAAACTAATGCCATTTATTTACAGTTAAATTCTTTGCTTTGTTCGAAATGATTTCAAAAGATATGAATAGATAAAAGTTTAAAAGTAAATAATAATTAAAATTAGTTTATTTATATGCTGAAAAAACATAACTTAACATAATATAAATAATTTATCCTAAACGAAATTGTACAGCGAAAGTGTCCATATATCGAGCCCTAACCGCGAAAAAAATTTAACCTAAATTTTTTCAAATCTTTTTTTTTCAGAAATGCATTTTTATGCTCTAAGAGCATATTTGCCTCAAAACGCAAACTTTAATAAAATTTCGCTTACGTTATTCTTCGCGATTAGGGCTCGATATAACAAGGATATGGATATTCGATCTATCAGTCTCTCTTCGTTTCTCTCCAACCTTGAGCCTTCTGGGTCCTGGGTCTAGATATCAACATGAATGAGCCTCTAAGTAAAAAGTACCACATCAACAAGTTTCCTGAGACTTAGGCCATATAACAGGGCGAACTGGCAGGGGATATGCTTCCATTCTTTACAGAGTTGGAGGGAACACAGAAATTGCGAACCTCGAGATCCACTTTCCCGACAGAAGTGGGTAGGAACATTATATCGTTCTAAACGATGACGATCCCTATCTTCGCACATGGCTTCAAACTGGGTATATTTCAGGTATCTTAATAACGGTTAATAGTTTAAAAACCTAAAGAGGTATTAACCGTTATTTTGCATTGATCACTTTAATGACTTTGTGAATCCCCTAAATACTACTAAAAAAATTCCGAAATATTTAAAAAAAAATATTCAAAGTTAGGGAATAAGAAACAAACAAAAACAGCTGTGCATTTCTTTACTAAATAATGTGGCTTACTGCTCAATTAACTCTCTTATCGCATTTTAATTGTCACATCAAATTTGTCTACTAATTGAAATCGTTTTCTTATAACTCTGCTTGATGCTGCCATCCACTGTATAAATATAAATATTTTTTTATTTAAAACTAACTTTATTTTCGTAAGCATCATTTAGTGTTTAAAGTTTATAAATTTTGTCTATGTGTATGTATGTGTGACTTCTTCTTATTCATTCATACAAACATATGCATGTATATATGTATGTGTGTGCATTGTATGTATTTCCATTAAAGACCCTAGGTATTTAATTTAGTATTACAATTGTGTATGTAAGTGCGTATGCTTTCTTCAAATTATACATACAGCCAATAAATATATATACATAAGTACACCCTGTCGGAAGAAAGCTGACTGTATCAAAAATTAACCAATTGAAAAAGTAATTGGAAATATGCGGCTTTGAAACAAATGCATTTCAACTGCTCTTAGGTTTTAAAATTTACCTACCCTTTAAACACATTTTTTTCAGAACAAAATTTGTGTTTACAGGGCAGATCAATTTTAGAGCCTAAAAAATAAAAATAAAGTTACTTGTTTAATTGCTTTTAAAGTAGTTGATTTTCCGACAGGGTATTTTTTTTTTCGATTTATCCCTTTCAGTTTGTGTTACATAATGCATACATTTTCATGGTACTTAATTACAATACAGTTATAGGTGAGTACATTTTTTCCATTAAACGTAACTATTTCTGGTTCGTTTTGTTGGTTTTGGTTTTTACCGGTTTTGCAATACATATTTTCATATACGAGTCATAAATTTAATTTTTTTTTTTTGCAATTTTCGACATACATATTTTCTGTCAATACTATTTTGAGTTAGTTGGCATTTGTGCCCATTATACACATGCAAACATCATGCAGGTAGTATGATCACCTAACATAAATATGTATGAGTAGATGCATGTGTAGCGAAATACATACATATGTAGCCTTTATATATATGTATGTACATATGCACGTAGACCATTTAATTTCATTATAATCTTTTTATGCAGCTTTTATATTTTCAGTACAAAATCTGTCTCCTCAGCAGAAAAGCGCATTTCTATACTCTGATTTTGTCTTTTTTTATTTTTATTTATTTACGTATTTTTATTTTTATTTTTGTTTATTTTTTGCTTTACTCGTTGAGTTTGTGCCATTCGGCAATTTGTCTTCGTGGTGAATTGCATACTTCATTCCAATGATTAAGTGCAGTGCCACCAGAATTTGGCCCACCAAGCTCCAATCGTCCAATTACCTGCAGGTATATAGTGAGAAAATTTTAGTTAGTTACTTTGAAAATTTACGGCGGAAATTTAACTGTTGCTTACCTCATTTTTGGTAACGCGATCCCAATCTAAAAGCATCAACTCCAGTGAAACACCATCAAGCGTTGCGCCGGTGCCCTGGAAATACAATACAGAACAAATAAATTTGTATTGAGTTTAATTTTTAAAGAGGCCTCCGGGACGTTTCTAGTCCCTCCTACAATACTAAAAACTTATTTTGCCTTTGAATAAATTTAGTCTGGTTTCCGAAGTTCCTTAATACCGAATGTGTTCTATGCTATAGCAAACGAGGTAACGGTAAGTCTACAACACCTCTCCCTTCACTTCTCGGCTTGTGGGGAACGCATTCTAGGGAAGAAAGGACTGCTTGTACGCCGATTAAGCCGTTATGGGGCTATTGCGTATGCAGTTGCTCGGCGTCCACCTCGTATACCCAACAAAAATTTACTCAGAGCCTCAGATGAGATCCTTTTCTTTTGATGACGATCATTGCGAAAGACCAAAGACTGTCATTTGGAGGATATGAACCTGGAATTCCAACGGGTTGCAAAACTGTACTTTAGTAGCAGTTGCGCTTGTTTGTGCGGAGAAATAGATGAGGCTGTCAAAAGCGAGCCCTAAAAATTGTATGATGTCTGCGGTCGTATTTGATAAGCCATCAACATTAATTTCCAACTGCATCCTAAGCTCTTTCGGCCAAGTGCAAATGTTAGCGAAGGAGAGAAGGGTGGCTAGCTGGCAGAACTTCGATATGGAAAAATTAAACAGAAGTGTGAAGATAACATAACCCTAGGGACATCCTGCTTAATTTTACTGGATTTCGATGTTTGAACCCGAAAATTTACTGAGCATCTTTACTACGTCGTCACCAGTAGTTTTGGACCCCTTTGCAAAAGAAAAATATAAAATTTTACAAGCCTGGTAGCGACCCCTAAGCATTTTTTAAATTTCTAAATTTTCGTGGATGTCTTTATTTTGTACGCAGAGCAAAATAAAAGGGGTTGCCCCAAGATGTTGATATTTAAAGACCACCCAAAGGGCCACCCCATCAGTAGAAAACAAATTGCAGGTGGGAAAACCTGGACACCGCCTTCGACACTCGAAACTATGGAAACTTTCTTCGACTCTCAGAGATGAATAAACAAATCCACGCCCGAGGAAATAACAGATCACTAGACACAGGGTGATATCGCTACGTTAGATTCGGCACTTCTACTCTAACTAATTTCAAATCTAGCAAAAAAAAAAATGTAGCCCAAAATCTAAACTTCCAATCTCACCTCTGCAGCTGGTATATCGAACGCGAAGCTTTCATTGAAGACTGGACTCAATGTGCGTTTCTTGACATGCGTCTTCTTCTTCGCAATGCGCTGTCCATTGTACAGTAAGTAGATCTTTACGTACGGATCAGCCAAACCTGTGACATCCATGCGCGGCAAGTTGCGCGCCTTCAAGAGCACAACAGTCAAACGGCCAGCAGCTGGCTGCCAGCATAACGAAATCAATAATTCGCCACGTCCTTGAGCGCGTATCTTTAAACTACGTGGCTGTATTTCCTTGCTAATGGAGAGCGCTTCCTTGGAGATGTCACCAATCTCTATGGACGATAGTGGGCAGACAACCTCGCCGATGACATCGTCACGCGAATAACGATCGAAGCTAAGTATGACAAAGTGTAGAGACATATTCTGCAAGTCGCCAATATTCAAGCCGTAAAATGTGAAATCTTCATCGTAGACTGGATTGCGAGTATTGCGTACAACTCGAGTCTTCACCTTATGCTGTTTGTCGGGTAAAAGTTGTAGCTTCACATACGGATCGGTGGCGCTTTGAGTGCGTCCATTCAATCCGGTTGGTATGTCATTCGAGCCATTCTTGTTGCTATTGCCATTACTGCCACCATCACCGCCGGCAACACTACCGCCACCGCCATTCTTGCATGGCAAACCGCGACAACGTATTATGGATACCATTAGAGCATTGCGTTCGGCTAGGAAGCGTAGCTTGAAGTAAATGGTGCCCAATTTACCATACTGATCGATATTCAACTCCTTGCCAGCGTCCTCCATTGCACTCATGTTGTGATGTTGATAGTGATTGTGTCCATTATTGTTGTGTCCATTATTGTTCTGGGCGGTCTGGCTCACAATGGTGGCTTGGGTCTCAATGGTGGGCGAGTGCTTTTGTTCACCGTTCATTAGTTGCCGATTATGGCGTGGTTGTACTTCATCCTCTTCGACATATTTCATCGTTTGTGGAGCAATTGGTGAGGTGGTCTGATCTTGCATTGGCTGTAAAATGCCCAGCTGTTTGGTGCCAGTCGGGGATGGTGATTTCTTGAGATAATGCGGTGGTTGTCCACTTGGTGAGCGTACAGCTGTTGGGCGACGTGTCGGTTGGAATGGAAACGAGGCATCATGCTGATTCTGCTTGCGGTTGCGTTGACGTATTTGCTTGGCGCAAATGCAGGCAACTGCGGAGAGCACAGCGGCGGTGGCAAAGCCCAATATCGCCGGGAGAACTGTAAAGAAATACGTATGTAAACGACATAAAAAATATAAGTTAACTGAAGTAAATATGATTTAGTTCAACAAGTAATGAGAAAGAAATTACGAAAGTAAAAATAGTACAAATAGAAATGCAAAAAAAAAATCGTAAAACCTTTGAAACTCAAAAATTTAATAGCAAAGCATTCAAAACTTTATTAAACTTGGTTCTATAAAGCAATAACTGGAGTTGTTTCAGTTCAAAGTTCATGCAATTTCGTCTTATAACCAGGGCTTCGGAGCAAAAGATTTTTTTTTATCGCTCCGTTCTAGCTCCACTCCGGCATTTGATTTCGTTCCGAGCTCCGCTACGAATATAATTTTTATTTTTCTTATTTAATTAATTACTTATGAAACCCTTACTACCAAAAAAAAATTAATCGATTTTTTTTTTTTTAATTTCTTTTTGAAGCAATAAAATAAAATAATAAAATGACAGATATTAACCCAGCCGTTTATCGTTTCCATTTTCGAATACTTTGCCGATCCGTTTTTCGACAAAATGTGCGGCAGAAACGTATGTACAGGCAAGAACCCAAAATTGTTTTGAAACGGATACGTTCTTGGCTATTTTTATGAAATTCGTCTTATTGAATTTTTCGTTCAATATGCTTTCCCTCTGTACTTCACAGATGATTTTTCATGGTTCGAAAAAAAAAATTAAATAAGGCAGCACATGAGGGCACTCGAACCCGGCACCTTCTGAAACCTAACATATACTGCAGCCACTGCCAACTACGTACAGATGCTTTCAAATGTTCAGCTTAAACAAGTCAAATATATTTATTGCTTTCAAAATAATGAATGAAAATTTAGGTCCTTTTTTCGTTCGTTTTCGGAAACTTAAAATTGTACGAGACCTCACGTCCACAAAATTAACTTATCTCCGCTGTTTGGGAAGTCTTTGTGGTTTCATTGCCGTTCAAATTGACGTAGCAATTATCCCCGACTGCTGGGTATTGTGTAACGAACAGTATTTCCAAGTAAAAATATATAGAAAATTTGTTTAACACGGTTCTTTTCAGTAACAAAAATTAAAAAAAAAAAGTAAATTTAATTTTCTGTTAGGAGCTAAGGAGCTAATGGTTTTTTTCCTGCTCTTTGCTCCAGCTCGGCTCCAGCCAAAATCCTTTGCTCCGCTCCAAAGCCCTGCTTATAACTGTACATATATAAAAAGGCAACGGTATTCTGTAGCTTAAAAATATTCAAAAGAAATCTTATTAAAAAATTTAAAATTTTATTTTCTTCACATTTTTAAAAAATGTACATATGTAAAACACAATCTTTTTTTCTGAAAGTGTAAGTTTCGAGCTTCTACATACAGTATCTTTGCATATGGAATATACTTATACTTATATTATATGTATGCTACATTAGGGGTATTCACCAAATTGAATAAGTGGCTGGCACTCTGGCCAAAGGGAAGATTAGCTCAAGCAGCAGCTGTTGTCTGGCTATTTTGCCAGAGTGCTAGATCACTTCCTCAATTCGGTGAATATAACTATTGTTTTTGTTTTTGCTACACTACACTTAACTTACTTGTCTCCATTGTGCTCACATCTGGGCTATATTCCTCACCCATTTTGGTTGCAGCGAGGAATCGTTTCGTTTGACTGTTTTTGGTTTTAGCTGCTGTAAATGAAGCAGTCTACTATTAATTCTTTTCCACTACAAATGCAACAACTCACTGGAGCTGTATGCAACTTTACTGCGAATTCACAGGACTTTTGTTTTATATGACTAAGAGTATTTATTTTTACGCGCAATACGTTCAAATTTTCCACAAATCGTAATCGATTTTTCCAATTTGTCGTACAAAGTTCCGTTGACTAACAAGTTATATACATATGTACATACATACATACATACAAATGAGCAAGCGACAACTGCAGCTGCGGTTTGTTGTTATTTTTGTTATTCTTTTTCGTTCAGCGCGAAGTGATTTTTCTTCGCTAATGTCGAAGTGGCTGTCGTCTTCACCCTTATCGTCGTCGTCGTCGTCGTTGTCGTATTCGCTCCTAAGTGTGGTGGGGTGTTTAGCTTAGCCGCTGCTTCTAAACGTGTCGTATGGCAAGTACCTACTACTCCCGTGGCGTGTGTACTTCTCTAACTTCGACGATATGTTTTGGTGGTGTTTTATGGTGTTTTTCTTGTTGCTGTTGGTTGGTGGGGGTGGTTGGTTGGTTGTGTATGTCGCAGGCCCTTGCGGTAATGCGACGCCTTTAGGTCGCACGTATTGTATGAATCACACTTTTAACAGCCCGCTGCGTCGCTACTCTACCTCTTCGCCAATGAATGCAAATAATGTACCTAGTAACCGAAGATGCTGGTTAATAAGTAATTTCAATTACTTTGATTTCACTATAAAATGTTCCTACTTGAAAAGCGGTTGAAAATTGAAAAATGTTCACTTCTTGGTATTTTTGATACAAACTATTTATAAACTTTTCTGCGTTAGCTTCGCGTAGGTGTTCGAAGTACGCAAGCAAACCGTCTGTAACTGTTTAGCGCTACTTGCAGCTGAGTCGCAATTTTTTCACTAACAAATTTTTAGGCTTTTCCGCTCTTTTGCGAGTGATTAAAAATCTATTTTTCTAGTCGAAGCTCTTTTCTTTACACTTTTTCTAAATACGTTGCATATTTTAAGGCTTTTAACAGCACAAAAAACATTGGATTTTCATTACTTTTAAAATTGTGTTTGCTGAACGCGCTTTCGCATCGATATCCCGATTGTAGTCGTCTTCGTCTGCTGCGAGTTTACGAGTATTCACTAGCACTGGCCGTTGACTTCGTTCTGATGCGTATAAATCAGCGAATTTGTGGCGAAAAAATCGTTAAACTCGCGCAGCCGCAATGGTACATAGCGCCGAGGTAGCGAGTTGGCAAATGTGCAAACATAGCGAGCATAACAAATGCTTCTGGTATATTGTTTACGAGAAAAAATTATCAGCGAGTGGCGATGATACATGCGAGAAGTTTGTGGTGCTCAGTTATTGCTTAGATATCAGCTGATTTTTGTAAGATTTTGCCGAAAGATAGATAATCAGGTTGTCGAAATAGACTTTTGACAATTTTGAATTTAAAGTCTCAAAAAAGTCGTCGTTTTCGTTATTTCATCCTCCGATGGGGGTCTAGAAATTGCCTTTTCAGAACAAAGAATAAAAAAAGTAAGTGCGACTGGGCCACACTGGAGAAGTGAAACTTACGTTACATATCTATTTTGTCTCATAACCATATACATAAATATATCTGCTTTTGCTTAAGGTTTTATTTCTTGTCTTTTTTCTATCTAGATCCCTACCTCTACCCCTGTTCGTTCTAATTACATTTACGTTACTCTGTTTTCCTTTATCTTCATTTTTATCTTTATACTCTATCGATAACACAATCGACCACCAAAATATCAATAACAAAACCGATAAAAATTTCGATAACAAAATCGATGACAAATTTGATAGAAATATCGATAGTAAAATCGATAAAAATTTCGACAGCAAAAACGATTAAAATAATAATAAATAATCGATAACAAAATCGATAAAAATATCGATAACAAAATCGATAAATAATCAACAGAAAAAAAGGTAAAAATATTTGTAGCAAAATCGATAAAGATATCGATAACAAAATCGATAAATAATCGATAACAAGATAGATAATAAACAATATCGATAACAAAAACGAAAGCAAAATCGATGATAAATTCGATAAAAATTTCGATAGCAAAATTGATAATAATATCGGTAACAATATCGATAACAAAATCTATTAGAAAATCGATAAAAAATATCAATAATAAAATCGATAACAAAATCCATAAATAACTGATAAGAAAATCGATAAATAATTGATAACGAAACCGCTAAAAATGTCGATTATTATATCGATAAGTCCCGAGAATCCCGAAAATCTCGAAAACCCCAAAATAGTTCCCAGATTGAGTCTCTGGGTCTATATCCTTTTCTCTATAGTTACCTTTATTTTTATATTTCTTCCTCTATCCTATCATCAAATCAATAAAAATTTTTAGTTTACGAGGTAAAACTACATAAAACTCTTTTTCATTTAATAATAAAGACTAGTATCGCCTCGTTGTCGAAATTCACTTTCTCACGAACTTTCATTTTTTTTTGTGATGTTTTTAAGTCCATAGGCAACCCGTGATCATCTAGTACATCTACTAATATTAGCCGCCATCGTTTAGCCACTTCGCTGCTTATGTTTAAGTTCCGGTCGCTTAACGAAAAATTTTGCATGTGAAAGCAACAACAAAGTTAGCTAGCGAAGATTGACGATAGCGAGTTTGTGTGTATGTACCTCATTGAGTTCGTTTTTTTCGACACTCGCTAACTGTTGGCGAATCGATGACGGCCATTATAAGATGAAGTGATATATTTCTGCGGAGGAAAACATTTGCATGGGAAGATGGTGAAACCAAAGCACGCATTCACGCAGGCTTATATTGGGTTAATTTTTCGCAGGTATATTTCTCTTGATATTAGTAAAGCGTATTTTGAATTTGAAACGAACCGGATATTTGTTGTTGAAGCGAACCGGACATATGGACAAATATCCATAACTAATTTTAACTCGTAGTATTCGCACTTTGTTTAAGACTTCGGTGTCTTATGACTGAAAGTCTTCTTTGTCAAATAAATAGTATGTATATGATGAAGATATGAAATATAAAAAAAAAATTTAAACATTGTTAAAATTTTAAGTTTTTTAAAATAATATACATACTTCTCTTACTTTTAACAAGAAGAGCGTTAATTAAAATTAAACAAATATAGCTCTAACCTTAACCCGCAATTACTTTGAATTACCGGCTTTTAAATCTGTCCGCTACTGTATTTCCGTACATTCTGCATTTATATTGAAAGTCTATTTTGCATGAAAGCTCAACGCTGTTAGCTGTTAAGACACAAAATATTATCAAGCACACTCACCAGTTTTATAAAGCAAGCAGTAGAAAACGAAAGCTGCGTTTTGAAAGCTCAGTGGTATAAACTCGAGTGTATATATTGGTGTGCATATATCTGTGTACGGTTTGATAAAGCGCTAGGCGATTTAGTTACACACATAAATAGCTTAGGGTAGAAATTACACATTAATATCATATCAGTTTATTGATTTTATCGTGACCACACCAAGACTATTTCATAATCTCTTCAAGAATACAGTAAAACTCGATTAAGTACCTCACGAAAAATGTCAACTTTTTGAGGTACTTAGGCGGGTTCGGTACTTAAAAAGAACCCGCTTAAGTACCTCTGTGCACACTCATTCACTCAGCTTAATTCTTCAGAAAGAGGCTACCGATTTGGTACTAGCATCAACAATGATAAATATGCTAGCGATGTATCATTGTTTAAAAATCGAAGAGTGAAGACGAATGAACATATTTAACTAATTCATTCATATGCACCAGAATTTGCAGAAGAACTTGAGTCTATGATAAAAAAAAAGAGATGTTGTTGTCAAAAATAACGCTAAGACTATAACGTATGAACTTGTGAAGATTTTATATTCCTTTGTTAGGTACTATCAGTGATGATCTGAAGACTCGTTTTCCAAAGAAGTTTTTAATGGCTTACAATTGAGTTTATTGCTTCCCGATATTGTATATCCTCTAAAACTAAATTTTGGGCCCTTCCGAAAAATACATGATCTCCCCACCCAAAATAAACTCCTTGGACACAACATTTGGAAAACATTTAACCTAAACCACGCATTAAGAGTTATTTTAAAACAACTTCGCAAAAACAAGTACTGCCATTTAAACAAAACGAAAAACTTCACACTAAAAAATTAATATTACTTTCATTAAAAATCATTTTACGTGAACGGTTCCACGCTCAGCGCATAAACCATTTCTGAGAGGATTTTTAGCGATTCACATTTAAATAGCAAGCTACTTTCTCCAGTTCAGATGCCAACATGCAGTCGAGCCTACTTGTGGACAAACGCTGCATACTGCTCTGAGCTCTGAAACTGATTAAGCCGGAGTGGCCCTACTGAAGCTTGTTGGTGATGTCGGCGCACGAAATGCTGCATAGGTAGAAAAAGTATACTTTTTGAACTTCTTAACTCCTTATTTATAGCCCAACTCAATGATAAGCACTTTCGCCTGAAAGTTGCCAGCAAAGTTAGGCAGTCGGAACAAGAGGGAGAGGCATCCGACATCATATACACAAGCACCCACACCGTCAGTATAAGTGACTCCATTACTTTGTTTTTACTCGAATCATACTTAGAATAACACTTCATCCAACAGAAATCTAAAACAAATCCCATCAACTAGTTTATGTTTCAATGCAACTACGCTTTCCAGTGTTGCATGGCGGCTGCCCAAAAATAGTAGTAAATACTAATTTTCCCTCCACATACAGACTGCCCATTGGCAATAGCCAACAGCTGAGCTAATCAAAACAATGGCAATAGTAAGTAACTTCAGCAGCACTAGCCGCGATGACTTTTGTGCTCTCAGCAGCTTTGGCAATGCAAACTTGAGTGCAAGCGTTTATAAAAACCGCGCAAAGCGCCGCAACAACGGTTATTTGATGCCAAACGCGAAGGCGCACGTTTGAACAGCTGACAACGGAGCAGCAGTGGTGAGTGTACTGAAAACGAACGAACGGTCCTCGGCGATTGGTGATTTATTGTGTATATGTGTATATGTGTGTCGTAACAGTGCATTTCGAACAGATTTGAAGATTTAAAAGTAAAAAAACTTTGATTGCGGCAATAGGCTTGTGCAATAAAGAAAAGCGTACTTAGAAGCGATTCTTGAGACGGCGGGAAGAAATAAAAGAAAACGTGCGCAATTACGTGACGCCAAGCGTGTTGTATGTGTTAGTGTATAAAATACGATTGCCAGCAATAAACTGCAGACTATAGTGTTGCATGCAACATATGTATGTATGTATATAGCTAACTATAAAGTACAGCAGCGGAGAGTAGTGGGCCATATACATAGCTGCAGCTAGTTAGCAAGGGAGACCGTGAAATTGCAAATCGAAAATGCAAAATTAATGAAAACATATACATACATACAGAAATTGTGTGCTCGCAGCCAATATTTTGCATACATAAGTGCAGCGCGCAGCGCATTGAAACGAAAGACTTAAGCAACAAACTCGATCGCGTAGTGTGGCTGGCTAGTGAGTGACTTAAATACTGCTCCTACTAGGCACTGCATATGAAATCTGTATCGACAGCTGAACGCACAAATGCCAAACAGTGGGTGACGGATTGGCAGACGAACAACGATCACATTTGAAAGAAAAAAAAAAACCCCACACAAGCACAAGCACAAAAGCGACGATAAGCAACAACTTCCTTTTCCTTTGTAAGTAGTCAATGAAAACCGAAACAAAACACTAAACAAAAAAAAAACTAAAACAAAATAAGGTTTATGTAAAACTGCATTGTAGTTAGCTGCACGGCTGAAGATATGAGCAGCGCATTGGAGACTAGTAGCGGTGTAATAGTGCGCGCCAATCGAAGGTTAAGCCACCATTAAAAAAAAAAACATATCTAGTTAATAAAAGACAAACAAAGCTAAAGCAAAAAACAAAAGCAAAAAACATTGAAAAGACGGCTTAGCTAATTTTGCTGATTACAGCCAAAGCCGTTTGCAAGAAGCCAAAGTTGAAGTTTATTTTTTTTTTCTTGTTGTTTTTTTTTTTTGCTATGAGTTGTGAGATTAAGTGTCGGTTTTATATTGCGTTAACAATGATTTTCTTTTCATTATAAATTTGTATATTTGGTAATAAAA